TTTGCACTGTCTTGTAGCAGGAGATCTTGTCTCATCCCTCGTTGTTACCTCATGAAAAACAGACCTGGAGTGTTTAGTTTCATTCACACATGTTTGAGTAACTCTTTATTATTAGTCTGTCTACATCCGCAAAGCTCAAAATGCTCTGTTCCAACTTGTGATGACATGAAGCGGTAGTTTTCAAGTTTACAGCTACATATTACCCTTTTGTTTAGTAGAGAAGAAGTGTGTTAAACATGTGTGAATGAAACAAAACACAACTCCAGGTCTGTGAGGATACAATATTATAGCATAGATCACAAAATAGCGTAATTATGGGTCCATTAAAACTGGTGTCTGCATTTTTTTTTTTTCATCTTGTAAGATTTATCGATGTCACACTACAAGAAAGTTAGAAATAAAAAACTTGTGAGACGGCGCACATGCACACTGTTCGACGGTTCACAATCAGGCTGTGACCAAAGTTTGTCTGAGTGGCAAAATCACTGAAACTACATGCTAGCTGTGTTTTTGGGTTTGTTAAAGTTACAAAAAAAAAAAAAGAAAAAGAAACAGGGAGATGAATTCCTGGTTCACGACTGAGCTCTCGTGCATCGTGTTTGACAAAGATTGATTGTAGATGCAGAGAAGAGGGTTCACTTTCCAAATATCAGACGTTGTAGATATAAACCGCAGCTTGTCTTTGGTTTTTCTGTGTTTATTCTTTGTTCCAGACGGACAAAATCGTGTTCAGGTTCACCAGGGTAACAGCACCAGGTCAAGTTACGAGTTAGATCTAGAGAACCGCCCGCTCACAATAAGAATGCTTGGATTTCTGTACAGTTTCTGCAATTAAAACACTTATACTTACTAGAATTAAGGCTGGTTATCATTAAGAAGTTGCCGATACGATACATATCTCGATACAGCGCACTTTTAATTCGATACGATATATTTCAAATCAATTCGATACGGTTCAATAAAAAATAAAGGCTAAATCATGACTGTGATTCCAAAAGTGTTTGTTAAACCACAAATTTGTGCAAATTTAATATAAAACACAAACATTTTAATCATCAACAGTGAAAATGTCAAATATGTCGCATAAATAAGTTTCTTTCCACTAAACAAGCAACAAAACTGTAGCTCTGTAACAAAATAATTAAAAGTAAAATATACCAAAAAATACTCAGCAATATATCGATACAGCAACCCATGATATCAATACTGTATCATCACTAGGGATGGGCATTCGATGAAATTTTCTTCATCAATCGTCAGAAGAATTAACGATCGATTATCGATTATTCATTGACGTTTTTATATTAAAATGATCATCATTATTATTACTATCTGCACTACTAATCTGCATAAATAAATTCAACTTTACGACATATAAACCGTAACGACTCTAGAGCCACATCAGCCCGTTTGACATTATAATGTGTTTAATTCAGTTTTGCGCAACTCTCACAGAAACAAAACTTAAAACTGCATCGCTAATTTGCATAAACTAAGCGAAGATAAAACTACAGCTCTTGTGTCGCTGATGCGGTTGATTTCTGTCGGATTAAAAGACATGACTCAGTGGAATACAGGTTAGTGTGACCAGATTTGCGTTTGTCAAAACCAGGACACCGTACGGGGGGAGGGAGGTGGGGACTCGTCATCGACATTGAGCGACTCTCACCTGGTAAAACTTTTTCCCACTGGACACTGAAACATATGTGCTGCTTTGTTCACTGTGCACATGGACTCACACTTGTCCCGAACGCAACGGAAAGCCTGGAATTTCTTGTACAAATCATCGTTAAATACACATTTGTGCTTCGGTACGTTGCAGACTGACCGACTGTTTGTGTCTCGCTCCTTCTGATGCAGAGAGACACATGTACAGACCCTGTTTGGTCACGATACACACAGCAACCTACATTCAGTTTGTCGATTAAAATTAACGTAATCGATGAAATTCTTAATGATCAATTAAGATTAATCGACTAATCATGCCCATCCCTAATCATCACATTAAACGATACGATATATCGATATTTTGATATTTTTGCACAGCCCTAACTATAATAAATTAATGCAATATTGGTAGGTTTAACGCCATATTCTGACCTACAAAGACAAAAACCTGAACTCGCCCGAGTGTGAAACTGAGAAAAATGACTTCAGAGTTTCAGTTTTGTCCAGACTAAATTTTGACAACTCGTTCTTATAATGAAGAGATATTTGTATTCGAAAGATATTGAGCTCAAAATGAACCTTTGACCCTGTTCTCTGCCAAAAATAATATCATGAGCCAAAAGTAAGGAGCTGTGCAAAGACAAAAGGCAGAAACTGACATTATCTTTATCTGTTTGATTTTCACCAGACTTCAGTCCATTACAAGAAAACCTCACCAAGGTCTAGTCATCATGGGATTATTTTGAAATGATATAGAAGAGCGAAGAAGTAGATGGTAGTCAGAGCGCTCGCTGGATCACCGCTGAAGTGAAATCATAATCATCAGGTGCTCTTCAGAGATCCCAAGTCAGCAAATAATTTACTGAATGAAAAAAAGTGATCCAAGGCACTTCGATATACTTTGCTGTGATTTTATTTCATGTCAAATACCCGACGCATTTCGACTTAAGTCTTCATCAGGGAACGTAATATTCGCAGGTGTGTGTTGGTGGTATTTAAATGTACAAGTGACATGAGGACACCTGTTGTGGATCCAGTTACAAGTACAATGGAAAAAATGTCAGAGCGATAACTTCAGTTAAAAATGGCTTTACTGAAAAAATGTCATCATATTTCTGTTCCAACTCACTACATTCTATCTAAGGCTACGTTCAGACTGCAGGGCTTAACGCTCAATTCCAATTTTTGTGTGAAATCCGATGCTTTTTCGAGGTCGTTCACATTTCCAATTAAATGCGACTTGTATGTGACTCCAGTGTGAACAGTAAACGGCCCGAAAGTGTCCCACATGTGACACTGGAGACACGACGACGTCAACCGCAGCGAGCGTCTCTGTGTTTACAGAAGTTGTCCAAACATGGACGCAGCATTGAGCACCTGGAGATTTTAAAGTTCCTCTCGTACCGGAGCCAGAACATGAACAACTTACTTGTTTTAAAGAGGAGATTGAGAAGGAGAAGGACGAGGTTTTTGGTCGTGGTGTTTTGTGGGGCAGAACGTGTGGATGTGGAGACGGAGCCAAGAGTGGTGAGTGGTGATGTGCTTCTCTTCAGTGACACAGAGTTCATTAACAATTTTCCCCTACTTCAGCGCAGAATAGTGACGTTTGTGGCTTGTTAATAACGTGTAGGTCGGATTAATGCACTTTGGCCGTTCAGACTGAAGTCACATGTGAAAAGATCAGATATGTATCGGTTTCAGGAGCACATATCCAAGTGTCCTGAGTCACATTTGAAGAAATCGGATCAATGTCGTTCAGACTGTCATTAAAAGATCAGATACAGGAACATAGGGGCCAAAAAATCGGATTTGGGTCACTTCAGGCTGCAGTCTGAACGCAGCCTAACATGTTTTTTGTTTGTTTGTTTGTTTTATAACTGATAGCGCAGTCTTCATCAGCTGAGGGTTTCAACAAACAACATCCTTTTGAATACAGAGAACCAGCGCCATCTATGGGTGAAATATCTGGTGCTACAACTGCAGGAAAATGATCCTTTTCTGGTTTTAAATAACAAATACAGACTTTTAAACACTAACATGTAAAAACAAATGAATTAACAATTTTTTTCTAAACTTTTTTAAACTAAATATTCAACAACGCCGTCACGTGATACAACTGTGTAAAAATACATTTTTAGACATACACGATGCATCACAATAATAGGAGCGTCACTCGTGACCTCTGTTCTGTGCACATTCATACATAGAAAAATCCAGCGGGACACAAGATATAGAATTTATAGATATATACAGTGTTGAGGAGTAACAGATTACATGTACCAGAGTTATGTAATCAGAGTACAAATTATTAGTAACTGTATTCAGTTACAGTTACTGTTTCAGTGAGAGGTAATTGGATTACAGTTACTTTGGTGAAATAAATGGATTAAACAGCGGTATTTTCCTGTTTTCACATTTTGGTCTAAATCCCTTTTTTTTTCTTTTTTTTTTTATCGGTAATTCCGCTCATTGCCAGACACTAAACCAGGTCTAAACCAGGTCTAAACCAGGTCTAAACCAGGACTAAACCAGGTCTAAACCAGGTCTAAACCAGGACTAAACCAGGTCTAAACCAGGTCTAAACCAGGTCTAAACCAGGTCTAAACCAGGTCTAAACTAAACCAGGTCTAAACTAAACCAGGTCTAAACTAAACCAGGTCTAAACCAGGTCTAAACCAGGTCTAAACCAGGTCTAAACCAGGTCTAAACCAGGTAAACCAGGACTAAACCAGGTCTAAACCAGGACTAAACCAGGACTAAACCAGGTCTAAACCAGGAAACCAGGAAAACCAGGTCTAAACCAGGACTAAACCAGGTCTAAACTAAACCAGGACTAAACCAGGACTAAACCAGGAAAACCCAGGACTAAACCAGGACTAAACCAGGACTAAACCAGGTCTAAACCAGGACTAAACCAGGTCTAAACTAGGACTAAACCAGGAAAAAAACTGGACTAAACCAGGACTAAACCAGGTCTAAACCAGGACTAAAACCAGAACTAAAACCAGGAGTAAACCAGGACTAAAACCAGGACTAAACCAGGTCTAAACTAATACAACATGACACTTAACAGCAGGTGAACCTAACTGAAGGCAGCAGTGATCTCATATAAAAATCATTTCTCTATCAATAATATTTTTATATGGTCAAATAAAGACTGAACAAACGTGAAGTTTTCAGGATGTGGTTGATACATTCATGTCGTACATTACATTTTAAAAGTCACCTTCCCAACACTGGTCCCAGGTTGCTGAAAATGCACAGTTGGAATTAATTTTGCATTTTTATCTTATCTTATTCCGCTTCTTCTTCTTCTTCTTCTTCTCTCGCAGGGCTGAACGCGGAGGAGAAGCCGGCCCCCTGCGCTCCGAACGGGGGCTACGGCAGACACTGCACGAGGAACGGGACGGAGTGCACGATGGGGTGGGAGGGGCCCAACGACGGCATCACGAACTTCGACAACTTCGCCTTCGCCATGCTCACCGTGTTCCAGTGCATCACCATGGAGGGCTGGACCGACGTGCTGTACTGGGTGAGTCGCTCGCCGAAACTTTTACAAGCGCGAGTGGAGAATGTGCGCGACAGAAACACGATTTTTACTTTATATTTACTTTACGTTTCACTTTGATTATTATATTTTAGAAGTTAACTGTGACATTTTGTGTAACTTTTCCGGTGGAGGGTCCGTCAAACGCTTTTGGAGATGTTATTCCTTTGTCTGGAATGTTTCGCAGTGTGGCGTTAAACCTTTCTATCGTCATGGGATCCAAACCAGATCAAGTTACAGGTCAGATCTGTGGAGAGGCGACCCCGCTCACAGTCTGTTTTTCTAGGTGTTTTTGAGTTATAAAACCACCTGTAATTGGAAAAAATGTAAGGTAGAGGTGGTTAATGTCACACTGTGGAACATTCTAGGCGGAAAGACAGAATGACGTATCCATAGAAACGAGCAGGTGATGGAGCGCCAACCGAAAAGTTACATAGTGCACATTTAAGTAAGCAATAAAAAGGCTAAAATAAGATGAATCCGTGTATCATTCGTTCGTCCGTTTTTCAAAATAAAACCAAAAATAATAAAATTTAAAAAATATATTTTTTTTTCTTCATTATTTGTCTCCAAAACCAAAATGAAAAAACAGATAATGATTCGTTTTTTCAGTTTTCGATTTTGTGTTTAAATGAAGAATGGAGAAAAAAAAGGATAACAGCTGTTTCATGTTTACGGGACTTAAACTGCGATGCCGGACTGAACCAGGATTAAAACAGGTCTAAACCAGGACTAAACCAGGACTAAACCAGGACTAAACTAGGACTAAACTAGGACTAAACCAGGACTAAACTAGGACTAAACCGTTTTCAGTCCTGGTCTGGTCTTGGTCTGGTCACCGTCTCAGTCCTGGTCTGGTCCCAGTCTCAGTCCCGGTCTGGTCCCGGTCTGGTCGCGGTTTCATCCCGGTCCCAATCACGGTCTCAGTCCTGGTCCTGTTCCTGGTCTCAGTCCTGGTCTCAGTCCCAGTCTGGTCCCGACCTCAGTCCTGGTCTCAGTCCCGGTCTGGTCCCGACCTCAGTCTCGGTCTCAGTCCCGGTCTGGTCTCGGTCTCAGTCTCGGTCTCAGTCCCGGTCTGGTCCTGACCTCAGTCCTGGTCTCAGTCCCAGTCTCATTCTGGTCTCAGTCCTGGTCTCAGTCCCAGTCTGATTCTGGTCTCAGTCTTGGTCTCAGTCTCAATCTCAATCACAGTCTGGTTCTGGTCTGGTCCCGACCTCAGTCCTGGTCTCAGTCTCAGTCTGGTTCCGGTCTCAGTACCAATCTCAGTCCTGGTCTCAGTCCTGGTCTGGTACTGGTCTGGTCCTGGTCTGGTCCTGGTCTGGTTCCGGTCTCAATCATGGTCTGGTCCTGGTCTGGTTCCGGCCTCTGTTCTGGTCTCAGGCCCGGTCTAAGTCCTAGTCTCAGTCCCGGCCTGGTTCCAGTCTGGTTCCGGTCTGGTTCTGAACCTGTTTCGGTCCTGGTTCAGTCCTGGTTCAGTTCGTTTGCGTTGCAAAAGTCCGGCATCACAGTTTAAGTCTGATCTGAGTCTTATTTTTGGTTTTATTTTGAAAAACGAACGAACGAATGACACACAGATTCTAAATATCGTCAAAATCTGTTTTTATTTCGTTCTCGTAGTTCCGCTCTCGTGTCTTGATGAACTCGTATCTCGTCCCAGCCCTGATATCTACAATTAAAAGCCCATATGAACCTTTATTACGGCGTGTTCTCTTACACGTGACGCTCTCGTGTGTGTGTGACGTTTGCGTGAGTGTGTTTTTCCTGACATGAGACGAGAGCTTACTGGCTCCACACCCTGTTCTCCTGTTCTGCTGCTGAACCCCTGTGTACTCTGAACCTCATCTATAATTCACTGTATTTACTTTCACTGGAGCTGCGCTGTCTGCCTCTCTCCAAACTACACACTCACGTATTTATTCAGACTTCTAAATACATTTGTGTTGTCGTGGAATAGAAATAAGTGGGTTTTTGTCAATTTAGAAATGTCATAGAATGAATTAAAAGTGTGTGTTCACCTGTAATGTGCCTCGTGACAGGTTTACAAAATAATATACACAGATTTAGATGGATTTTTTATTTTTTATTTAGTAGTTTAGGCAAGAAATTGTTATCGAAATTTCGTAACATGAGACAAACTACGCTCGATCTACCGCTGATTAAATTACAGCCCCAGATATTTATTCAGATTTTTTTTCACAATGCCGTGATGTAGGGTAAACATCACTTACGTTTATGTTTTTCTGTGGCAAAATATCTGTGGAAATGTTTCGCGTATTTTCCACCAGCTTCATAAATCTGTCCCATCACCAAATCTTCAACCAACGAGGTCGACAAAAGAAGAATTTATCCACAACTATCAAGGTAAGAAAGACGAAAGCGTAAAGGTGAACGACGACGACGCATCAGTGAACTACTCCTGAGCAAAACTAACATGATGGTCATGAATAAAACAAAAGTAATAAGTAATTCACAGGGTTCCCACTGTTTTTCACTGACAAAATTTTAAAAAAAAATTTCCATGACTTTTTCATGACGTGAGGTAAATTTTCCATGACTTTATGGCACCTACATGTGTGGAACTGATCAGACTTTTAGGGCTAAATATGAAATGTTAACACTTTCCACTCACCTTATGGTTTGGTTTTATAGTTTTTAACATTCAAAATACTGTCAGTGCATTTATTGTCGTCTCTTTCTAAAACAAAAGGAACATACTTTCGGAAATAATCATGCCCGATCCCGTCAGATCTCAGAAGCTAAGCAAAGGCCGGGTCTGGTCAGTACTTGGATGGGAATAACTGTTGTTGTGACCTTAGGCAAGACACTTTACCCACATTGGCTGGTATGAAAGTGGTGTGTGTGTGTGTGTGAGTGTTGGTGGTGGTTGAAGGGATGGATGGAGCAGATTGGCAGCTGTGGCTCCAGTAGTAGTTGACCACAAGTGATGAGTGAATGAATGAACAGCTTAATTATAACTTAACAGAACTGTGTAGTTGTGTGAAAGAGATTCTAAAATTCCATGACTTTTACAAAGCCTTTGAAAATGACATTTTCAATTTCCATGGCATTTCCAGGATTTTCATGACCGTGGGAACCCTGAATTCATTAATATGTAACTTGTGAACTCAGACTGATTCTAGAATTAAAATAAAAATCAACTTCATGATGTAGATATTGACATAGACAGAGAGATTTGTGCAGTTTAAATGTTAAAGATGTTCACAGATTGCATTTCTCGCATTTAAAGTTCACAAATCTCTCTGTCTATGCAAATATCTACATCATGAAATCGATTTTTAATTTTAAATCTAGAATCAACTTAACAAGTTACTTATGTTTTATTCATGACCATAATGTTAGTTTTGTTCAGGAGTAATTCACTAATACGTCGTCGTTGTTCGCCTTCATATTTAGCCCTAAAAGTCTGATCAGTTCTACACATGTAGGTGCCATAAAGTCATGGAAAATTCACCTCACGTCATGAAAAAGTCATGGAAATTTTTTATTTTTTTTTGTCAGTGAAAAACAGTGGGAACCCTCTGAATTACTTATTACTTTTGTTTTATTCATGACCATAATGTTAGTTTTGCTCAGGAGTAGTTCACTAATGCGTCCTCGTCGTTTTTCGTCTTTACATTTTCGTTTTTCTTACCTTGATAGTTGTGGACAAATTCTTCATGGACAGAATATTTCCTTTGTCGTTGACCTTGTTGGATGAAGATTTGGCGATGGGGCAGATTTATGAAACTGGTGGAAAATACACGAGACATTTCCACAGATATTTTACCACAGAAAAGCATTAACGGAGAGTTGTGTTTACCCTACATCACGACACTTCCGGCCTGTCGTAGAATAAAACGGTTCAGGTAATACTTCAGAAATAAGTAGATTTTTGCCAATTTATTATCCAAGTTCCCAAATCCATTTCCCAGACGACATAAAACAATAATAAAACATAAACAGTGGAAATTGATTTTGCAAGTTTAATCATAATTATTATTTTTTCTTTATATGATATGATTATTCAAGTTAATTTAGGCAAAATAATGATTACTCAAAGATATTAATTAAGCTAAAAACTGAGATAAAAATGAAACTTCCAGAGTTGTGACTATGAATGAAATGATCGCCCTAACAGCTAACATGAGCTATAACTCTTCACCTGATCGGCTTTCGTCACAGCCATTTTCACTCGTTTTTAACATTTCTTCTAACACTGGAATGTTTCTTGTTTCTTTATTGCACTCTATCCTTCTTTCTCTCTCTCTCTCTCTCTCTCTCCTTTTCTCCATCTCTCTTTTCTTCCATCCTCCACACTATATCTTTTTCTTTTCTCTCTCTCCTAACCCCCCTCTCTCTCTTCTCACTCTCTCTCTCCCTCCCTCCCTCTCTATCTCTCTCTCACTCTTCTCTCTCTCTCCTCCTTCTCTCCCTCTCTCCTCTCCATTCCCTCTCCTCCCATCTCTCTTCCCCTCCCTCTCCTTCTCTTCCCACCTCTCTCTCCTCTCTCTTCTCTCCCTCTCCTGCTCTCTCCTCTCGTCCGTCTCTCCCTCCTTTCTCCTTCTCTCTCTCTCCGTCTGCTCTCCCTCTCTCCTCTCTCCCTCCCTCTCCTCTCTCTTCTCTCCTCTCCGTGTCTCTCCTCTCTCCTCCTCTCTCTCTCCTCTCCTCCGTCTCTCCTCTCTTCCCTCTCTTCCTCTCTCTCCTCTCTCCCTCTCTCCTCTCTCTCTCCCTCTCTCCTCTCTCCCTCTCCTCCCCTCTCCTCCCTCTCTCCTCTCTCGTCTCTCCTCTCCTCCATCTCTCCTCTCCCTCTCTCCCTCTCTCCTTTCTCTCCCTCCCTCTCTCCTCTCTCTCCCTCTCTCTCCCCTCTCACTCCTCTCTCCCTCCCTCACTCTCTCTTCTCTCCTCACCTCCATCTCTCCTCTCCCTCTCTTCCTCTCTCCCTCTCTCCTTTCTCTCACCTCCCTCTCTCCTCTCTCTTGCTCTCCCTCTCCCCTCTCGCTCCTCTCTCCCTCCCTCACTCTCTCTTCTCTTCTCACCTCCATCTCTCCTCTCCCTCTCTTCCTCTCTCCTCTCTCCCTCTCTTCTCTCTCTCTCCCTCTCTCCTCTTCTCTCCTCTCCTCCATCTCTCCTCTCTTCTCTTCCTCTCTCTCCTCTGTCTCTCCTCTTCCCTCTCTCCTCTCTCTTCTCTCCTCTCTCCTCCATCTCTCTCTCTCCTCTCTTCTCTCCTCTCTCCTCCGTCTCTCCTCTCCTCCGTCTCTCCTCTCTCTCTCCTCTTCTCTCCTCTCTTCCCTCTCTCCTCTCTCTCTCCTCTCTTCTCTCCTCTCTTCCTCCATCTTCTCTCCTCTCTCCTCTCTTCTCTCTCTCTCTCTCCTCTCTTCTCTCCTCTCTCCTCCGTCTCTCCTCTCCTCCGTCTCTCCTCTCTCTCTCCTCTTCTCTCCTCTCTTCCCTCTCTCCTCTCTCTCTCCTCTCTTCTCTCCTCTCTCCTCCATCTTCTCTCCTCTTCTCCATCTCTCTCCTCTCTCTCTCTCTCGTCTCTTCTCTCCTCTCTCCTCCATCTCTCCTCTCTCCTCTCTTCCCTCGCTCTTCTCTCTCCTCTCTCTCCTCTCTCTTCTCTCCTCTCTCCTCCGTCTCTCCTCTCTCTCTCTCTCTCTCCTCTCTTCCCTCGCTCTTCTCTCTCCTCTCTTCCTCTCTCTCCTCTCTCTTCTCTCCTCTCTCCTCCCGTCTCTCCTCTCTCTCTCTCTCTCCTCTCTCCTCTCTTCCTCTCTCTCCTCTCTCTCTCCTCTTCTCTCCTCCGTCTCTCCTCTTCTCTCCTCTCTTCCTCTTCTCTCCTCTCTTCCTCTCTCTCCTCTCTCTCTCCTCTTCTCTCCTCCGTCTCTCCTCTCTCCTCTTCTCTCCTCTCTTCCTCTCTCCTCTCTCTCCTCTCTCTCTCTCTCTCTCTCTCTCTCTCTCTCTCTCTCTCTCTCTCTCTCTCTCTCTCCTCTCTCTCCTCCGTCTCTCCTCTCTCTCTCTCTCTCTCTCTCTCTCCTCTCTCTCTCTCTCTCTCTCTCTCTCTCTCTCCTCTCTCCTCCTCTCTCCTCTCTCCTCTCTCTCTCCTCTCTCCTCCATCTCTCCTCTCTCTCTCTCTCTCCTCTCTTCTCTCCTCTCCTCCGTCTCTCCTCTCTTCCGTCTCTCAGATGCAGGATGCTATGGGCTATGAGTTGCCGTGGGTCTATTTTGTCTCTCTGGTCATCTTCGGCTCCTTTTTCGTTCTCAATCTGGTTCTGGGTGTGTTGAGCGGGTAAGATCTTGGTGTTGTCATGTTTTATGTATTTTTAAAGCAAAAAAACACATTCAGCAAGACTCCGTCGGCCAAAATATTCCCGAATCACTGTAAGTTTTTCTCATATGACACGATTAAAAACCTCCTCTGTGGTTTTTGTTGTTGCTTTGCTTCAGTAATGTTACAAATAATACAACAATTTCAACTCGAAGAATCGACTTGATGCTCAATACCTGTAGTGGAGCAAACAGAAAGGCAAAAACAAGGTATAAAAATAAGTTTAAGTTAAGTTTAAATCTAACAAAGGCACAAATCAGGTAAATCATCGACAAAAAACCAAGTCCGACTGGGGAAACTTAAATCAAACTGAACACAAGAGGGGAGAATTACAGTAAAAAAGCAACTAAAACTAATAACTTAATTAAAGAAACAAGAAGGTAAATCAGTACAATACAGAAAATAATAAGTGATATAAACAAACTAGACAAACGAACTTAGTAAAACAAACTAAATCGTGCTCCCCCCTTTTGTTCGGCGTGGATGGTCTCCGTCTGGCCACTCAATTAAAAAATAAAAAAGAACAAGTGTAAATAAATAATTCAGACTTATATTAACTAAAATGTGTGCACCCAAGTTAGAATAAAAGTCTAAATAAAGGAATTAAATTAAACTAAGTGTGCTGTAATTCACTTAATGTAAATGAAATGAAATTAAATAATAATAACACTGTGGAGTGGTGATATGCACCACAATACTGATTCTGATAACACAATGATTAAAAAAAAAAAAACTCCCTTCTTGAAGACAATAGAAAGTGATTCTAACATTAGTAAATATATCGCAAAGATGACCAAGCTTGTAATGTAAAAACTTACTGTGATAAATGGCAAGAGAAGAAATTGGAATATGCTTCTTCAGTTCTGGTCAAGAAGCAGCTTTGAAATGTATTCGACCAAAATAAACTTTTGTCCAGCTGACAAATTGAATTTCTAGTTTTGCCCTGGATTCTACTCGTACGACTGATGGATTCTACACTCACTGTGATAAAGTAAAAGTGGTTAAACAAATCTGAACACTCTGTTGAAATTGGGATAAAAGTCCTTTAGTGGTTTCATGGGAACAAACCAACATGTTTCAATACATGTGGTGTCTTTGTTTAGCCAAGTCATTTCTCTCTAGTGACGAGGTCAGGAATCAGAATACACTAGAGCAGGGGTGTCAAACTCATTTTGGTCCGGGGGCCGTATCCAACCGACTTTGATCCCAAAGGGGCTGGATCAGAAAACTCATGTCATATAAACCCCAAAATAATAATAAGTTGAAATATTTGTGCAGAGAAATGCAAATCTATTACAGAAATCTTTTTTAATTGATGAACTCTTTCTTATTATATGCTTATAATATTATGAACAACCTGAAACTTTAAGAAAAATTCAATTTCAACACAATGTTTTAACATGAACTTGTATGTAAACAGGAATAAGTCAATTTTTTTCTTGGAAAATCCTGCACTCGGCTCCACTTTTCTCATGTTGGACATTTTTCTGATGAGGGTGTCACGGTCAACAGTCAAAACGATCGTCATTTAAGAGCCACAGAAAATTACCAATATTTTAATAGAAAACATAATTAAAATATTTTAGTACAAAATCAGCCGAGGGCCAGATTAAAAGTCTTGGAGGGCCGGATCTGGCCCCCGGGCCTTATGTTTGACACCTGTGCACTAGAGGGTTTGCAACAACCCTGGAAGTGTGAGTCCAGGCACCAGCCAATCAGTGAAGAGCCAGATATTCTGTGTTGACAACGATTCCCAAGATCGGGAGTTTAAAGCCAGAACAAAGAGAATGTTTAACTTCTTAGGTTATTTTTAAAGCCAATACAGTAAAGTGTATTTACCTTGTTGACATGTTTTGTCTGCTGTATCTTCAGATCTGTCCCCGGTGTTGGTGGTAACGTGTCGTATATCAGCTGTTGTTACTTCCTGTAGGCGTGGTCGGCCTGATGCCCTCCTCCAGAGAACACAGAGCGAAGTGAGGCGTGGTCAGTCTGAGCGACCTGCCAGGTCCATCAGGCCGACCATGCCTACAGGAAGTAACAACAGCTGATATACGACACGTCACCACCAACACCGGGGACAGATCTGAAGATACAGCAGCCGAAACATGTCAACAAGGTAAATACACTTTACTGTATTGTCTTTAAAAAGAACCCAAGAAGTTAAAGTATATAAGAAGACAAAATGAACATCTTTGGCCTTAAAGAGAATGTTTGTTGAATTTTATCAAAGGGAAAGACGTTATTGTCCTTCTTCCCACACGATTTGAGAAAAGCTTAATATACCAGTTAGTCCTGTTAGCGTCACAACCAAATAGCAGCGATTGGTTAAATAAAAAAAAGTACCTGCCAACTGTCGAGCGAATGAATCCTAATGCTACAAGGTCAGACGGTTTCTACGAAGTGAAACCGGTTGATGAATCAAGCTACTATTCTACTTGGACGACTGGTGGATTCTACACTTACTGTGATGAAGTAAAAAGCGATCAAAAAATCCAAACACTCTGAACACACAGAAATTAGAATAAAAGTCCTTTAACAAACCAACAAGTTTCGATATACAATTCGATTCGTCAGGACATGTCGTATATATTTTCTGATCGCTTTTTTCTTTATCACAGTAAGTTTTTATGTTATAAGCTTGGTCATCTTCAATATCTGTAGCTTTTAAACCTTGTATTTAAAGAGCAACTGTTGTGGACTTCTACTAAGATACCCTGAAGCTCTCACGCCCTCTGTGTTTTTATTAAATCATAGTACTTTCTTTGATATTCCCATGTGATCTTATATGTGTGTAATCCCTCAGTGGTCCAGGTAGCTTCCATACTAGTCCACGTGCTCTTATATTTGTTCATTTTTAGTAGTTTCTGATCAATTTGCGATCATTTTCGATACTTTTGACAACCCTACTTGCTACCACTTCAAAAACCTTGCATTGGACACAACAAAAACCTCAAAGAAATCCAAAATATAATATAAAAATGTGCTTATAACTCTGTACGCAGAAGCCAGAGGAGTCTTGCTGTGTCGTGTTTGCTCTAACCCAAATACGATGCATTTTCTCCACAGTGGTAAAGTCTGGTTTAACATAAAGGCTCATTCATAATTCACTCACAAAACAAAAGCCCGTGTTTGTATCTGATTTACTTATATAGGCCACGTCGGTTTGAATAAGGCAGATATGTCGTCGTAAAACGTAAAGCGGAGAACGCGGCTCGCAGTTTGCAATTCGCTCGTAACTTTAAATATTTATCCGCTTTTTGCGTTTTCAGTTTAAGCCGCTGTGAAAAGTTTTGCAGTGACTTAACTCGCACTTCTACTTTGTATTCCATTGTTACTGTTGTTGTGTCACTGGGCAAGACACTTCATGTAGCAGATCTCGATACAGTGAGCTTTCGGTTCGATACGATCTACACGACCGGTCAAAAGTTTTAGAACACCATAATTTGTCCAGTTATTTATCGCAATTCATGTCATGCAAGTCCAACGAAGAGCTTGAAATGGTGCAAAGGTCAAAACTGAACGGACAGAGGTTAAAAAAAAAGATAAAAGATACAAAATTTAAGTCCAAGTTATGCCAAAATTATCTCAAAAAAAAAGAACACGATGGTAAAGCTTGGAAACGTTTAGGACCTGTTTACATGAGAACGTTTGTGGGTAAAAACGACAAAATATTTTATCGTTTTAGAGGCCTTTTGTTTAAACAGTGATGACATTTTTGGGGCTTAAAAATGCAAAAATCTGAAACCACCCTCCAGAGTGGAAAAGTTGAATACGCTCCACCTTAGCGTTTCCGTCTACACTGCCCAAGACGCAAAACTCTGGTCAGATCTGCTCACGTCACGTACGTGTTTACGCCACATACATACAGAACACAGAAACCTGACATGCATATCCAATCAAATTCCACACACTTTTGCGTCGCCATATGCACGCACATTTCCTCCTGAAAACGCTCGTCTAAATGCAGAATATAAAGAGAAGACGCGACGCCACTTTTGCGTCTTTTGTTCAGACCGTCATCATATAAACGTAGCCTAAGTGTCCAGCACATTCCCCATCGAGCTGGTTTGGGATGAACTGGACAAAAGAGTGAAGCGACCTACAAGTGTCACACATTTATGGAAACTTCTGCAACAGACTTGGGAAGAACTTTCTGAAGAATATTTGATTTCTATCTTATAAAGAACGAGCCATGAGTGTGTTCAGCTGTTATATCTGACAAAGGTGGACACTAGAGATTTTTTTCACCCGTAACCGCATCACAAAACTCATCATCCGTCCGCTGTCCATTTGCACCCGCGTTTTTCGACCAGTTTTCAAAACCGCACCCGTCCTCCATCCGCCAATTGATCGCCGAGTTTTTAATTTGAGTAGTTAAGGGCGAAGTATAGTTCTGCGTTGACTCGCGACACCTTGCCACCATCGTTTTTGATTTATTGATCTGTGTCGAGGTATACGCGCCGCAAAGTAATTCACCACCACAATGTTAGGAGGCTAGAATATATGTCCATTCACATACACGGTCTGTGCGTACGATCTGCAGACGTATAATCTCTGAAAAGTTTAACACGAACCATCTCCAACGCGACAGAAGCACAGAACAGACTCACCATCGTCAGAACACCCCTCTGTCACAGAAAGAACACATAGTATATTCCACCGTGTCTTTTTTAGGTGCGACAAAAGTTGAACCACATCAGCGCACAAGGAGCGAGCAGTTTTTTGAGCTCTTAGTTTATGCAAATGAGCCGTGTGGTTTTCAGTTTCATTTCTGTAAAATGTAAACAAATGTGCTTAAAGCTGCATTAAACACATTATTACTCAATGTATATCGAAAGAAAGGAAAACGGAGTAAAACTGTCACCTCCCTGTCACGTCATCCACCTGAGTCCACGGCTGTAACCACGATTCGCGCATTTCTAGTGGACACTTTCCTGAATCAAAAGTTTAGAAGACGCATT